TATGCCATTTTCACGTGTCTACAAGTTTTTGGTCAGCTGTTTCAGAAGAGATAACAGCCAAGCATGATACTAGCAAATCAGATAACGTGTGATGCTTCCAAATGGAAAATCTACTACTGATATGCAATATAATTCATAACAGATGCATTTATTTTAAAGACCTAAATGTTTTCAATTTTCAGATAATTAAAAAAATGAGACTAGTTTTTCATTAGTATTATTTTTATTCTTTGTCGTTGACATAGAATATGTTTACAATTTGCCTAAATATTCTATGAGGGAAAAAAAAAAATCATTGGCCCATAATTTAAACAGTTTTACCAAATGTTAAGCATTCCATATGTGATTATTTTCATTTGAAATAAAGGACTTCCTTATTACTTTACTACATAACCCATGGTGTGTGTTTAATCACATGAAGCAACAATTATTAGAATGTTTTCCTATAACCTGAAGAAGGAGTCTTTACGTTTCAAGCTATTACACACATAAACATCCTCAGCCAGGGACAGGTTGAGTACTCATGCTTGAATACATTTAATTTCTTTAACCTAATGGGTGCAAAACTTAATTTTCGTAATTACAAAATTATAATAAAAAATGTTATAGATTGTTGGGTTACACATAAGCATTTTCAGAAAGAATTAAGGGAGCTATCAAAAGTTGCGGCTACTTTCTGTTACAATGGCAAACTAAGTTCTTCACTCGGTTCACCGGGTAGAATTGAAGATGATCACTTAATAGTAATAACATATCAAAGCACACATCCTCATTCTATCTTTTTTTAACAAAATAAATACCTGAGAATTTTAGCTGACAATCAAGCATCCTATCAATTCCAAGAAATAGAGTAAAAAAAAAGAAAATTAAATTAAAATATGTTCACAGACAAATCTAGAAACTAAGTTCTAAAACAAAAATTAGGACTTACAGCTGTTAAGAAAATCTGTAGCGTGTTGATAAGACATACCCCATAGCTAAGAGTTAAGAACATAGTGAAAAATAAAATTCAGGTAAGAACATTTTTGAACTGTTAAGTAAATACAATTAACTGCTTTAATGAAGCTATAGTCCTGAAAAGGTACATATAAATTCGGTGTCTTAAATGAGAACCTTTAAAATAATGTAGGAGTTTTGCTATTTAAAGAAATACAATAGGGAAACTGATAGGTAGACTTCTAATCTACTCGATACCATTACACTTTTTCATATAGTAGCATTATACCACTGTTGCAGTCCCAGTAAACGTGGCATGAAGCACCCTGGGTGAGTTCTAAGTAAACGGGAGTAACTGGAAGACTGATCAATTAGTCTTCCATTTACAATGTTTTTTATTAGGAGAAGCTATATTTACTAAAATTCACCTGTAATAAGAATTCTCCTTCTTGCAGACTCAGGCCTTCTCTGAATTTTGTTCTACAGTTTTCCTGAATTCCATTTCTGTCAGCTGGGGAGGCCTGTAATGCAACTGTGGAGAAAAGGAAAAAGCAATGATAGAGTGAGCGATTTCAAAGGGCTATAATGGAAAAGTCTCTATATACCTAACAAAGACACAATTTGAAATACCGGTTTCTACTGCTACTATAACGACTAAGCAAATATTCCTTTGTCAATGAACGGTTTCCAAGTCAATGGACAGATTGCTAAAAATTATTAATTACAAATAAATAATTTATTTAAATTAATAGAAACAACTTCTGATGAGCTCATTATGATTTCTGGCACATAACTTAAGAGTTTTAAAGACCTGCATGGTACCTCTATAACTACGCCTCCCATTTCTCTTTACTCATGAAAATAAATGATTTTCATACTAATATACACTTATCTAAACAGTGAACTAGTAGTGGTGAGGAGAAAGAATCAACCATATGCTTTATTAAGAAATATATTTCCATCAAGTTTAGAATCTTCTTGTCTAACTTTTGGGTGAAAAAGGGATTAGTATTGTTAGCAGAGTCTTGCTAAATTTATAAATCAACTCATGGAGAATTAACATCGTTGTGATTTTGAATCATTCTATCCAAGAACATGCATTTTCTTCCTTTTGTTCATATCTGCATTTTTTTGTCTCACTAGAATATTTTAAAGTTTCCACAAAAAAAGATTTGTACATTTTTATGTTTATTCCTATGTATTCCATTCTGTAAAATGCCTTCCCCTTCCTAACTGCTTGTGGATTATGGATTGAAGGGGAAGTCTGTTGCCATGGTGGGATGCTTACTTCTGGAGGTAGCATTTTATAATGCTCTCTCTCCTCCCCTCCCATCTCTCTTCTTCATAGTGTGTGTGTGTGTGTGTGTGTGTGTGTGTGTGTGTGTGTGTGTGTGTGTGTGTGTAGCTTGGGAGGCACCACAGCTGAGGGTACTAATAATAGCTGCTATGTTCTTAGAATTTTTCCAAGCACTCTCAAATATTATCTCATTTAATAGTAGTATCTGGGGGCGCCTGGGTGGCGCAGTCGGTTAAGCGTCCGACTTCAGCCAGGTCACGATCTCACGGTCCGTGAGTTCGAGCCCCGCATCGGGCTCTGGGCTGATGGCTCAGAGCCTGGAGCCTGTTTCCGATTCTGTGTCTCCCTCTCTCTCTGCCCCTCCCCCGTTCATGCTCTGTCTCTCTCTGTCCCAAAAATAAATAAACGTTGAAAAAAAAAAATTAAAAAAAAAAAATAGTAGTATCTGGCAGAATTAAGTTCAAATCTTAGCTTTGCCATTTATTAAAATGTGTAGGGTCTTTGAGCCTCTGTCCTAATATGTGAACTGGTAATCAAAACCAAACAAACAAAAAAACAATTTTGCAGGGTTATTGTGAAGAGTAATGAGAATATATGTGAAGTTCCTGGCATTCAGCAGCTCAATAGTAATTTAATAAATGGTAAATTATTAGCAGTGTTTCCCAGATCCTATAGATTATCTTGTTATATTATGCAACCTTTTAGATACAATTACAATACAGTATTTCCATTTTTCTGATCTATTTTTAACCTTCAATGTCAAATAAGAGAAATCATTAAGTGAAACTGACTTTGACATTCCTTTTAAGACTCATTTCATTAGATTTTTATTGCACCAAAGATAATCTGGCTTGGCAAAAAACAAGATTTACTAATAACCAGATTTTCTCTCCAGTTGAGCAAAGCCTCACATATAAAACATTTTCACGCTGAAGTATATTTTCTGGTAAATCAGTGCATGTGTCACACTGGAATCTTATGCCAAGTTCTTGCTTTTGCAAGAACTTGAAACATACCACTTTGAAAGAAGAGGCCAAAAGTTTGGCCTCTGAATGTAACAATTTCAAGAGGCCAAAGAACATATTTCCTTGGGCCAAAAAAATAGGTTGAGGTACACAAATTGATCTAACAGTTAATCAAGACCAAAGGAAATGGTTAATCTTTCTCAATGTAAGTAGAAGAGAAAAAGGCTTTTTCTCCTTTCCTGTTCTGTTGCTGCTTGCTTTCTAATGGTCAAATTTGACTGAGTGCATTAAAACCTCACAATGTCAGGGTTAACTATACTCTCACTTTTCCAAAAGCTCCAGTGCAAGGCACCATTTAAGAGTTACACCAGGGGTGCCTGGGTGGCTCAGTGGGTTGAGCGTCTGACTTCGGCTCAGGTCATGATCTCACCATTTGTGAGTTCAAGCCCCACATCAGGCTCTGTGCTGACAGCTTGGAGCCTGGAGCTTGCGTGGGATTCAGTGTCTCCCTCTCTGTCTCCCTCTCTGTTTGCCCCTCCCCCACTTGTGCTCTGTGTCTCTCTCTCTCAAAGGTAAATAAACATTAAAAAAAAAAAAAAAAAAAAAAAAAAGAGTTACACCAAATATCAGTAAGATTTACTGTTAACTTCCGAGCGGTGCTAGTGCTGGGTCATAGGGTAGATCTATTATTAATTTTTTGAGGTACCTCCACACTGTTTTCCAGAGTGGCTACACCAGTTTGCATTCTCACCAACAGCGCAAGAGTGTTCCCAGCAATAACACTGCTAGGAATTTAGCCAAGAGATACAGGAGTGCTGATGCATAGGGGCACTTGTACCCCAATGTTTATAGCAGCACTTTCAACAACAGCCAAATTATGGAAAGAGCCTGAATGTCCATCAACTGATGAATGGATAAAGAAATTGTGGGTTATATACACAATGGAATACTACGTGGCAATGAAAAAGAATGAAATATGGCCTTTTGTAGCAACGTAGATGGAACTGGAGAATGTTATGCTAAGTGAAATAAGTCATACAGAGAAAGACAGATACCATATGTTTTCACTCTTATGTGGATCCTGAGAAACTTAACAGAAGACCATGGGGGAGGGGAAGGGAAAAAAAAAAAAGTTAGAGAGGGAGGGAGCCAAAATATAAGAGACTGTTAAAAACTGAGAATAAACTGAGGGTTGATGGAGGGTGGGGGAGAGGGGAAAATGGGTGATGGGCATTGAAGAGGGCACCTGTTGGGATGAGCAATGGGTGTTGTATGGAAAGCAATTTGACAATAAATTTCATATTAAAGAAAAAAAGGTTTACTGTTAAAAAGAAAACAACAAAACCAAAACCTACACATTGCAAAAAGCAAAGTATGTAATTATAAAAATGGACAGATATTACTAGTGTCAAATTTTAAAATGTCTAAATTATCAGGAATCTCTTAAAATTAATTTTCAATTAAAACAACTGGTGTCAGTTCCAACCAGAGCTACTGGACCACTGACACTATTCAACTCAGAACAAGTTACAATTTGTTTCTGGCTTTGTATTAGGGATATTAGCCGATGTAATTAGAAATCAGACTCTGCCCTTAGCTGGGAATAGAAGTTATAGAAATAAAGAACTAAGAATGTCAGAAATGATTAAGTAGCAAAATGGGATTTAATTAAAGTTTTACAGGATCTTGGAAGAAAAAAGAAAACAAACCCTTTTTAAACAACAGGGCTTACAATTCTAAATGTTGGAAGGTTTATGTTTAATACGTATAACTGCTTAAGTAGGAAAAGTGACAACTACATATTAGGGAAGGATCACTGGAGAGTTCTTCCAAAGATATTTCTGTTGCTCTTAGGTTTAAGGTTAATAACTAGTTAATAACTAGTTAATAAGGCTAATAAGGATTTAAATAAATACTGTGCAAAGATGAGTCCAGGAAAGATGCATTCCCTTCGCATTCTCGTTTTACAAATATACTAATGTGACTTTTTAGAGATCTTACTTTACGTCTGGGCCTCCAGTCCCAAACTATGCCCCTCCATGAAGTTTGTCCTCTGTTTCCTGACCTCATACCTACCACCTCTCTCTTCTTAAAACTGCTTGAGCTACTTTAATACTAGTCATTTTCATGTATGCATTTCTCCCCTTGATTAGAAAGCCACAGAAGAGTGAGATGACTTGGGGTACTGGCACCAGTGTACTTCCTACCATCGAAGTGGCCTAAAATAATTTCCTTAGTAATAAGATGTGATACGTAACTGAGCACACACTGTATGCCAAGCAGTTTCCATACACTAGATCTTATCAGTCTTCCAAACAGTATCCTGGGAGATTGGTATTATTTTGTCCTTTCAATGAAACTGAGACTTAGAGAGGTTAGGAAACCGTCTCCAGGTCAGAGGGCTTAAAGCAGTGAAGTCTAGATCAAACCCAGGTAGCCTACTCGTGCAAGCTATTATTAACCACATGCTGGACTCCTCACCTACGCCAACCACCTTTGACCTTTAGTGTCTTCATCTTTAAGTGAGGACAAGGATACTTCTGGAGACAAATTCTTGTTAGGGCTAAAGTAAGATGTGGAGTACCTAAGTAATACCTAGAATCACAATTTACAGCCCAGGATTGAGATAATTGAGATAATGGGCTATATGTTGAGTTGATATACCCTCAAATCATTATGAAAATCAACACTGAAAATGCACATCAGGGGGGCACCTAGGTGGTTCAGTCGGTTACGCTTCTGACTCTTGGTTTCAGCTCAGGTCATAATCTCGAGATTTCATGAGTTCAAGCCTCACGTCAGGCTCTGCACTGGCAGTATGGAGTCTGCTTAGGATTCTCTCTCTCCTTCTTTCTGCCCCTCCACCACTCACACTGTCTCTCAAAATAAATAAACTTAAAAAAATTTTTTTAATGCACACCAGAGATAACTGAGCATATTTTCATTTCTAAACAGGGAGTATTAATGAATATCATCTATTAGGACTGCTAGGATGCCTATACATTATAGATTTGAAAGCACTTCAACAATGATGAATTGTTATAAAAGTTACATGAATAATCAGATGCATAGGACACTTACACATTACATCACTGGAATGAAATATACAATATTTCACAGAAACAAAATGTAGCATCTGAAAGTAAGTCACAGCCAATTCTGTTACATGAGAAGCATTTGCTATAATAAACAGACACTTGTTAAAATCCTCCCCATCTGCAAGAATACACTTTCTAAAATATAAAGATGTGACTTTGAACAGTCTGAGGA